AGTACCCATTTGTCATGAGTCCTCTGTAATTCCTCTAATGGAATTTGCATGGAGTCAGCAATGCTCTTCAGCAATTCGTGAAAGCATTTAAACTCACCAGGATATGAAGATGAGACTGGTACAACTACCTCATCAGGAGAAGAAAATAAAAGACTGACTGAAGCTTCTCCTTCTAATTTAAGTAGTTTACAGGAGAAAAAAATCCCCCGCAGTGGTTGCAACCCAAACATTGCAGTAATGTGGTGGTGCCCAAAATCTAGAAGCTAAAGTTCACTGGAAACGGATGATAGTTTGAAACATAAGGATGATTAGTCTGGTTCACTTTTGTTTGTACTAAGAGAAATGTAAAAATCAAAACAAACAAACTGGTGAAGTAAGTAACTTGGATATTTTTAATTACTTCAGTTGAAATGTATCAAAGGTATTTTGTAACATAAGTGAAGAATTTTTTTTTAAATATATGACATATGCCTTATTTTATTGGTATCTTTAAGGCTGGTGTGGTAACCATAATTCTGAATGTCTGAATTTTAATGGCATAACAATCAAATCTTGCATACATATTATATGTGACATGTTCAATTGAATGGAGAAATAATCCCAGATAACAACATTCAGTTGTTTCTCTGTTTCTTCATAGAGCACACGACTTCTAGGGTTGTGATCTTATTTACATAAATGAGGGACCTCTGGAATCATATTTCTCTGTATATGTACCACTTATAGAAAAAAAAATGTGGCTTAAGTTTTTAATTAAAAACAAGATTAAGACATTTTTAGATCAACAGGATTGCAGTTTGACAAAACAGAAGAAAAGAGGAAAGGAAGTGGAGGTAGGACAGAAGGGAGGAGGAAGATGATTGGGAAAGGGCTGGCTGACTGATGGCTGGCTTCTCTGTTGCATGGTGCACATCAGAACCAATATGAGTAGAAAGGGGGTCAGAGGGAAAACACAGCTATATGGCAATAATCCAACACTATGTAGTTAATGTCCATACCCCATTTTGAAGACAAAGTGCTACGTAGATAACTCTATCCCCTCTACCACTACTGGTACCATACAGAAGCTCACCTCCATAAGTCCTGGTAGAGTCTAATGAAAAGGCACTCTGAATGCCTTACTCATCTTTCACATGAGCTTAAGTAAAATTCAAACATCCTCATAAGTTCCTGCTGTTCTGCGTAACAAACTCCTTTGCTGCTTTTCCAAACCGTGCGTGTGCGGAGAATCAGCAGTGGTTGTCTGAGGTCCTGTCAGTGACAGGACCGTGGCCAACGTTCCCTCTAAATTTTCTCTGTGCTGAGCAGGCTACAAACTCCACTGAGGACTACATTTTTGTCCTTGGGCAAACTTACACTTTGCTATTTAAGAAGAAACAAGTCCCTCACAGCACTGTGGGAGAGTAGACAATTGATTGCAATTGCTTTTCTGAGAGATTACAGTCAACTGTGTAAATAAATATTCCAGGACTGCTTAAAGTATGGATTATGTAAATGTGTATTTAAGGACTTCAGAAAATGCCTAGTTCTGACAGGGCCTACTACAAGAGGGTATCATGTAAATGTGTGTCCAGGGAGTTTTAAAGACATGTATTATTGTGCAGTATTGTGCCAATAGTGGAACATTCAGTTGGAAGCATGTCTCAAGCATTCCACTTCTAGCAGAGTTGATACCCATAATTAAGTAAGTTGTGAAGTGTTGCTAACAATTTTGTTCAAGATTCTACATTGCCACTTTCAGTGCCAAAACTTTAGTCATTCAGGGGTGTGAAAAAACACATCCCTGAGCGACAAAAGTTTTAGCGCTGTGCTCCCGGCGATAAAGCTACCACTCCTCATTCTGGGTTATTATTTTTTATCACCAGGAGAGCTCTCCCGCAGCGATAAAGTGTGACTACACAGCGCTGCCGCAGCAGCGCTGTAACATGGGCAGTGTAGACATACCCTTAGTCATTAAACTCAGGTCCATGGATGAAAGTAAAATTACCACATCTGGCATTACCTGTTACTCTATCATAAACAAAACAGATTTTTGCCATGTTTGTGCAATAATTAATAATTAAAAAAGGAAAAAAATGTCACATTACTGATATTTGAAAACCAGTTACTGTAACTGTTACTTTAGGAACTTCTTTGTCATGGTCAGGAGCTTCAGGTCTTGAGGGACCTCTCTACCATCCCTTCCCAGGAGCCCTTGCCACCCCCACTCCTTATCCTTTCTGGCTGGCCCTGAGAAGCAGGAAATGAGATGGGCTTCCCCACCCCTATCCCCAGCAGGACAGCACATCTGCCAACTATATCCAGTGGTGAGCTGGAGCTGGTTCGCGGGAACCAGTTGTTAAATTTAGAAGCCAGTTTAGAACCGGTTGTTAAAGGGGTGGGCAAACTCCAGTCCACCTGAGCTCCCGGGTGGGGAGACTCCCCCTGCCCCTCCCCCGCCTTCCCCCCCTCTCGCAGAGCCTCAGCGTGCCGCACCGCTGGCACCAGCGCTCTGGACTGCTCCTGGGTAGCTCTGCAGCTCCTGCCGCTTTGAGCAGCATAGTAAGGGGGTGGGGCTGCGAGCTCCAGCGGGCCGCGCGGCATCCATACGCACTGCCCTGAGCAGCATGGTGAGGGGGCCGGGCCAGGGCTGGGAGGAGGGGTTGGATAACGGGCAGGGAGCAGTTGGAGGGGGGAGGAGGTTCTGGGGGCGCAGTCAGGGGACGGGGAAGGGTTGGGTAGGCGTGGGAATTCCTGGGGTCTGTCGGGGTGGTGGTGGATGGTATCAGGGCAGTCAGGGGACAGGGAGTGGGGTGAATTGGGTAGGGAATGGACAGGGGACAAGAAGCGGGTGGGGGGGGGGAGGTTTGATGGGTTGCGAGTTCTGAGGGGGGCAGTCGAGGGCAGGACATGGGTGGGGGTCAGATGGGGGGAGGGAGGGACAGGCTGTTTTGGGAGGCACAGCCTTCCCTACCCAGCCCCCGATACAATTTTCAACCCTGATGTGCAGGGCTGGCTTTAGGAAGTGCGGGGCCCAATTCGAACAATTTCGACAGGGCCCCAGCAGGGATGACTAAAAAACAAACAAACAAACAAAATAATAATAATAATAATAATAATATGTGGGGCTTGTACTCACCGGGTGGTACTCAGAGTCTTTGGCGGCACTAAAGGATCTGCCACCGAAGTGCCACCAAAGACCCAGAGTGAGTGAAGGACCCGCCACCAAAGTGCCGCTGAAGACCCGGTAGGTTGTTAAGTTTTTGGCAGCTCATCACTGACTATATCCTAATTCTGCGAACACTGCTCACCCCATTTGGGGTAACTTTCATCCTCTCTGCCCCTCACTATTCTGGTGGTTTTCCCTTTTTCCACTGTTTGGCAGTGCCTCTACCACTTTCTTAACCCCGCTTCTACCCCATCCCTGATTTTGCCTATCTGCCCCCTCCTTCCCCTGACTGTCTGTTTGACCCCCCTGTGTATACAGTTTTTCCCCAGGCACAAACTCAGCCCATCGCTCCTCTCCAGTGTGCCCCCTCTGCACCTTTTTAGCCCATATGAACAGAAGGCAGCCCGCATCATGATTCCAAGTGAGAGTAGAGTTAAGGCAGAGGCTTCAGCAGATGTTACTGAGCATGCTCAGATTTCTTAAACAAGTTCAGGAACAGAAAAGTAGCAAATTGCGCCAGAGAGCAGTTTGTGCCACACTCCCAGGTCCTGACTGCACTCCCAGCCATGTGACATGGGCAGTGGATACAGGACAGATGCACGGCTATGTGGCCACACAGCTCACAGGGAATGTTGATGGTAGCAAACATAGCTATGCTACAAAGAACCAAGAGGAGGGCAACACAAACCTGTTTTCCATACTCAAAAAGCAACCATTTACTCTCAGTCTGGTCTGTTTACTTTCATTCTCTTTTTTTGTTTAAGTTAAGTCGCTATGAGAGAGCACAGTGTGTTGTCTCCCCCACCTATTACAGTCTGCACTGAACTGAATACAAAACAGCCATCCTTAGAGATTCAAAGGTGCAGTATATAGAAAACAGTCACATAGCTAAAATATACCACACAGATGAGATGCAAGCTACAGGAAAAGGCTCTACTCTTATGAGCTCAGCCTTCCATTAGAACTGATAGCCATGCTTCCAGAGGTGATGATGTGAAAGAGCTGTGGTCTCCAAAAGGCCCAGCAATAGCAGGACTTGAGTTCTATCCCATATGGTTTCACACTTAAACAGGAGGATGTGGCTCTCATGTCTGTTGTCAGAGTCCCATTCACCCTCCACCTTTCAGTCTCTCCACTCAACAGAGGCCAGAAAGAGAGCAAAAGGAAGGAGAGAAGAATAGCAAGAGTGGTAGGAGGGCAGTACCAAACATAGCCTGCCTGAGACAGGCTATCAAATAGTGAATTTCATAATCCGCTTCCATTTTGGCACTAACTCCTCTCTCACTACGTCCTTCCATATTCCCATCTTCACGTAATTTGGAACGAACCAAAGCTTGAGTAGCAAAGTGGTATGAGGCAACATAAAAAAAAAATCATAATGGGAGTTGCACAAATGCTTAAAGACACCACCTTGGAAATGGAAGAAGTACTTTTTATCCACGCACATTATCTTTGTCCCTATAGGGAATATTGACTTTTCTATTTTAAAGACAGGAATGATCTGAGTAACTGGAAAAAGCCATGGTGCTCTGCATCTCTTTTCACTAGAATCCCAAATACCCTTTTCCTAGTTAAATATCAGCACGTTTACAATTACATACATATTCCAAATCAAACTTTGCATTGATTGTATGTGGGGTTCAAGTTGTTAAAAATCTCCAAGTCTACTGTAAAATAACTAGCATTTTCCTAATCAAATACCTCTGTTTCCCCAGGGTCGTCGTCTTCTTCTTCTTTTTCTTCATTAATAAACCACTCAAGATCCTTTTCAAAATCATCCTCATATTCTGCACTTTCTGTTGAGTCACCAGCCTCTCTTAAGTCATTAGTGTCTTTCTTGTCACTCATTTTGGCTTTGTGTTACAGCAATGCTACAAGAGGGGAAAATATTCTTATTTTCACAAGACTTTTATTGACACACAACAATATACTGTTGATACCTGTGGCATATAGGTAAAGTGGTGGACAATACCACTGCCTAGCTATTTCTACAGCACCTTACAAGAGAGGATCCCAATGGGGTTTCCATCGTGAACGGATTTAGCCTTTCAACCCCTGTAAAGTAGGGAGATATTTTCATTCCCACCTGTAAAATGGGGATCTGAGGCACTGAGAAGCAAGATGACTCAGCCACAGTCTTAAAGAAAGTCATTGGCAGAGGTAGGAAGAGAACCCATGATCTCCTAACTTCTAGTCCCTATTCTTTAACCATTAGACCATTTTTCCATGTGTACCTACAGCACTGGTACCAGATAACATCTCTCCTACTGCTTTGTTGTTTTCTCTCTCTCAATAGCTATAAAAACAGCAGGGGAGATGTTTCATTTATTATAACAATACTGGGGAGGGCAATTCTGCCTGTGGCAATGGCAATGGCAATATATTTATTTCCTTAACATGTTAGCAGCATAGGCACCACCAGTTCGTTCAAAGAAGGTCTAGCCTCTACTGAAACAATTCCCACAGGTTAAAGACAACGCAGCAAAGAACTGGAGCCCACAAGTCCTAGAAGAGACCTTTCATAGCTTCCCATAGAGCAGAGTATTCAAAACAAGAAGAGCCTGATGCATCAGACACTTGACTGACATCAGTGAGAGTCCTAAATCCAAAGCAGCTGTAGAATCAAACTCCAACTAACTTGTTCCCATTTAAAATATGTATTTAAAAATGCCTCTGTTTCCTGTGTAAACAACAGGATTTAAGTGTGGGGGTAAAAACATGTCTTTGAAAGCGTTGAGCATGAGGTAATTTTAAAATTAGATTACCAAACTATCAAAATTGATAACTCAGAGAAACAACAATTGCATGGAATTATTAACTAGTCGTTTCTCATCTGAGTAGTTCAGGGAATACAAGAGCCAAAAATAGAATTATTGATAGCTATTAATTTGTTAGACTAGGGAGGTGGTCCCACATTCTACCACCAAGAATTCTTTTCTAACGCATTAGGGAATGCCAACCAACCAAAGAAACAACTTTAAAATAAATGAAAAGTTTTTATTAAAATTAGTTATAGAAGTAAATTAAAAACAAAAGAAAATACTATTCAAAAATTAGCAGGTAAGGATTACATAAATGTAAATAAATAAGTGATACAATATGTTGACTGTGCAAAAGAAACCATATTAAAATAGAGTATACATTCTAAAACTACATCAAAAATCAAAGCATCAACTAGGTCAAAGGAAACAATACCACAAAGCAAGTACAAGTTAAACAAATAACCACAAATTAAACATCTATGTCATTCCATTAGTCATTCAGGATACAATACCACTTTGACAAGTCAACTAAAAAAAAAGAGTACAGTATGACTGAAAAAGGCAGCACTACAAATCCTTAATATAACACAAAATCATACTTAAAGAAACAGTACTTTACGGGTAAATACAAATTTGAATGAGGCAACTGAGTCACAAAATAAATGCAGGCAAATCCACTTCACTCCACCAGGTTTCTATGAACTAACATACTTGAGCTATATCACAGTCTAAACTGAATTAGGAATTGAATAAAACAAGGCAATACAATTTTAGCATTTTAAACTAAACAAGCTTTAGGAAAGCCAAGTAGTAACTTCTTTTGAATGCTCTCAGGAAAATACTTTTAAAACTGACTGGGAGAGTCAAAAAATAACTTCAAATGATGTGACCACTGTAAGCACAATACTAATGTTTAGTGTACACACATGCATAATTATTGTTACAATTTTCACAAGACATTTCAATAGCAAAATAGAATAGCTACAATAGCATAAGGATTAAGCTGAAAGGCGTGAAAGGTATAATTACTATGAAATGCAGCAGTGTAAAGTTAAGGCTTAAGTCAAGAACAGTGAAGTAAGGTGTCTTTAAGAAGCAATGTTGGATGCAAAAATTCAGTCCCAGTTAATCTATCTAGAGGAAGAGCATGTTTTGTGAAAATTTTTAACAGTCTAGAGTGAATGCTGGAAATTTAAGACACCAAAGGAATATCAAAATTCAACTTGCTCTCAGAGCTTGAGTTAGACAAAAATTTCATTCAACAGTTGGAGGTTTCTCTCAAACTAAAAGACAGACAGCAATTGGTAGGTTTTCATAATTTTAGAATGAATTCTGATAGGACCTTTTTTAAACAGGATAAGTATAGACAAAGGTGTTCCAGACTACACTACAGTAGAAATGAAATGGAGAGTATGAAAAGTTATTCTCTCTCTCTCTGCACACACAGCAGCATGAACAGCAGATTTTGAAGCAGGAGGGTGAAATAGAAATTACCTGTCACTTGTTCACTCACACAGACACAGGCAAGAGCAGTGACTGTTAGTTTGGCAAAGTAGGCATGAAAGGGAAATAGACAGAAAGGCAGTCAGAGTAGGGGTTTAAGTAGTTAAGCCTTTAAAGCAGTTTAAACTGGAATAAAAAGCAGCAAACTAGTAACACTAATTCTAAAAGGTACAACAACACAGCAAAGGCTCAGTTTAAAGCATATAGCATAAAACAAGGTGAAATTATAAGCATTTGGTTAGCATCTTTAAAGAGTAGCCAACATATTTTTTAATAAGCATGGGCAATGATGAAATCAGCCTTAAAAGCATACGAATACAACTGTATCTGTGCATAAACACAGTGCTGGTTAAAACAGTACTTTAGGTGCTACAGCAAAGCTTATTTCTCGCAATTCTAAGAACCTAATTTTTGGTTGTTATCATGGAAAGGAATTTAGGTTTCTATTATGCTGACCGCAGTAAGCTTCTTATTCTTTGGACTTATTCACAATCTGTCTTTCAATTATTGGAACAGAATAGTTTGGCAATATTCCGATGGAAGTTTTAAACCTGGAATTATGTAACACAGGGATTTGGTCCAATTGGTTGATTATATGGGAAAGCAACATAGTTCTTTCCCCAAGGAACTTCTGGTCTTCCTTCAGAGTCCAGAGTTCACCTATGGGTTTTCTGAGGGGAAAACAATGATTGCCCAGTCTCTATACTGAAGCAGGATTGTTTTATCTCACCATTCAGTTTAGAGACTGATAGCTCTTGAGCAAGATGGATTTTTGTGATGTCTCCATTTCTTTAGGAAGACGACCTCCTTCCTAAGGCTGGTTTCTGGTAGGAATGTATGCCTGGGACCAAATTTTCCCCAAGGATGTTATCCCTGAAGGACTCAATTAAGAGTACCTCTCTCTCAGGAGATGAAACGTTATCCTTACGCTAAGGTGACTCACTTCAGCTAGAAGTGACAACAGTTCATGGGATCAGGCAGCTTCTTTGTAGTAGGAGCATTGAGCTTTGGTAGGCAGATGGTACCCTTGCTGGTACAGTTACAGCTACCCTTGGCTGGCATAGGTCCAATTATTTTATAGGTATTGTTTCCCATTGAAATATATAGATGGAGGTGGTTCCTATCCAAAAAACAGTTAGATCTGATAGTTCACCGTCCCACTAAATAGTTGCAAGTTTTGGAGGAGCAATGTGCTGATCACATTGCTGGAAATCTGTCTTTTCAATGACAGGTTAGGAAGAGCTGCCCTATGTGTGTGCGCCCAGGAGAGGGCGTTGTGGTCTGGCAAAAGTCTATCTTTCAATTGAAAGCAGGGGTGGGCAAACTTTTTGGGCCGAGGGCCACATCAGGGTGGGGAAATTGTATGCAGGGCCAGGGCAGGGGGTTGGGGTGCAGGAGGGAGTGCGGGGTGTGGGAGGGGGTTAGGTGTGCAGGAAAGGGCTCAGGGCAAGGGATTGGGGCAGAGGAAGGGTGCGGGGTTTATGAGGGGGCTCAGGGAAGGGAGTTGGGGTGCAGGCAGGAGGCTTAGGGCAGGGAGTTGGGAGGCAGGGTGCAGGAGGGGTTCGGGCTCCGGGGTGGCAGCGGCGTGCCTGCCCTGGCCCCGGCCCCGCGCCACTCAAGGAAGCGCTGCGGCCCCTGGGGGAGGGGGGTGGAAGGCCGCGCCTCCAGGTACCTCCCCCGAAGCTCCCATTGGCCGTAGTTCCCCATTCCCGGCCAATGGGAGCTGTGGGGGGCGGTGCCTGGAGGCAAGGGCTGGGGGCTGCAGGGACGTCGGGCCGGCCGCTGATGAAAGTGGCGCAGGGCCTGCGGCGCCACGGGGGGCAATCCCATGGCACCACGGGGGGCAATCCCACGGGCGGGATTCAAAGCCCTGAGGGGCCGGATCCGGCCCGCGGGCCGTAGTTTTCCCACCCGTGATTTAAAGTCTTTAGTAATTGTGCCGTTTATTCTTCTCATAAAGTTCTACATAGTTATAATAATCCTTTCACATTCTGTGATATGTTAGTGCAGCTTTCTTAAAGTTTTAATTCTGGAGTTCAATATTCATTCTTTACTCAAATATTTTCCAAAAGGAATTTATCTATTTCCGCTTTAAATATAGGAATGTTATCACACAAATTTTGATTATATACTTAATCAACTTCAATAATTTATTATTAAGTTCAACTTTCTATTCCTAATAATCAGAAATACTGCTTTACTACTTTATATTTTATTCTGGATAATTTTACATTTACTAGTAAGTACAACCAAGTAAATCAAACCACAACTTAGTAAGATGAAGTAATAATATTCAACTATAAGTTAATTCTTAGTCACAATCTCATACTTAAGAACATAAGAAAGGCCATACTGGGTCAGACCAAAGGTCCATCTAGCCCAGTATCCTGTCTTCTGACAGTTGCCAATCCCAAGTGCCCCAGGGGGAATGAATAGAACAGGTAATCATTAAGTGATCCATTCCCTGTCGCTCATTCAGTTTCTGGCAAACAGAGGCTAGGGACACCATCCCTGCCCATCCTTGCTTTACCATTAAACTTCTAACCCAATATTTCATGTTAACATCTTATAACAAATTGCATATTAATGAGTTATGGACCCCAACATAGAGTAGAGATACTTTGTAAACTAGCTGGTACATATGAAAAGAGCATGGGTTAGTAGAACTAGGATATCAGAGACAGATCCCATTCCTCCTTTCCTTCCCATCCTGTTTCCCTCCATCCTCATTTCCATCTGGTACTACCACCTTGTGACTAACATAGCTCATTGCTGAGGGTTGGTATTTTGACAATGGAGCTAATTGAATAACAGTGAATAAGATGGTGACACACAGATATGTTACCCTCTGGTTAGAAAGAAGTAGATTAAGATTACTATTTGAATTTATTAAAAAACTTCACACACGAGGCCTTACTGCACATTTACACATTTGTTGCTAGCTTTCAGATAACACCATCCACATCAGGATTAGAGGAGAAATGACATCATTTGGATATCTATTCAGAGAAACTGGGAAAAGGGTTGAGAGCCAAAGTTACAATTTTTCTGCACAGAGGCAAGAATCACTCATATGGTGGGAGTTACCAGACTGTCAGCAAAGCACAGAGTAAACAATTTATTAATGACAAGATTGGGCCATCCCTTTGTGGCTGCATGTTGCAGTATCCTTTCACCAGCTACTGGGCAGCTGCTGACAATGCATGGAAAACAGTCTTTTACGGTTTTGCCTACACATTCTAGATCTTCAGTTCCTTGTTCCTTATTTCTAATGGTATCTGTATAAATGCAGGATATTGGGATTGTTTAAAAGTTTCTTTTCCTGCACCTTGTGGCTTCTGCTACAACCTGGAGGTTGCCCCTGAGTGTCTCATGGTAGTGCAATGCATTAACAGATCTTTAAGTAGCAAAAGTTTGCAATACAATATAAACTACAAGAATTAGCTGTGACCCTTTCATGCCCCAAGAAGATCCTGGAAATAGTGAGATGGCTATTACTTCCTCCTCACGTTCAGTCAAAATCCTCAGTTTCTAACATCAAAATTTGTTGCGTTGGTGATTATTATGTCACAAAGGATTATGATTAACTGAAGAAAAAAAGAGCAAGACAACCAATATCTGCTTACTCATGTATACATGTCTCTAATTCAATGCAAATAATAAGAATGTAATTTTCACCTTGAGATATTAATAAACATTAGGGATTTCAGGGTTATGCTGTAGTTCCCCCAGAAATTGTAGCTGTATTCATATCCCGCTACACACATCACAACAGGACTTTTCACAACATGACCATACAACTCAAGCGCAGAAGTATGCACACACATTTGCCTTGGTTGGTTCACATTTGAATGCTGGAGTTCAAATGAAGTCCAAAACTCAAAGTGGAGCTCAGCCAAAAAACAGAGTTTTTTCGAGTTCCACCCAAATAGGCACTATGCTTGTGTGAAACTTGCAGTGAACCTGGCCTGAGTTTCAGACTTGTACAATTCTGCATAATCACAATACAAAATGCTGCATATGTTCACTTTAATGAGTGATGTTTTTTAATCACAATACTGTGCAAAATTCAGCTTATTTATACAGTGCCTTTCGAGAGGAACAAAATGTATTCTGTTAGAAAGGATCACAGCATAGATCCTACATTCATGATTGAGAGGGCACTTTCAATCTAAGGACCTGATCTAGCAAGAACATATTTAAAAATTGTATTAAAGTTAATGTTTAAAATTAAATATACACAAGTTAAGAGGGAAGATACTATACATCTGGGGTCACGCTTGAGTTATGAGGGATTACAGGTATCCGTTACAAGGATCACGAGATACATACATATCACATAACCAGCATAGACCCAGATTGGGGTGTGGGAGTTTTTAAAGCAGTGGATAAGTGGGCGCGGGTACGCCACCCATGGAATGTATTATTACATGCTCTGAACTCCTATTCAGGTTCTTACACCACACCCATTGCCATAGTATCCAAGTGTTTTGGTTTTAATGGGACTTGAAAGCACTCAACAGATCCTAAATCCTTATTTTCATCACTTTAGACTTAAATTTTCTGGAGAAGTTACCCCTGGGCTGAAATTTCTTATGCTTGCTCTCAGACCAAAGATGAATTATTCTGCACTGTTTAGTAAAATTCCATTGGGCTATTTGAGTTATCCAAGCCTGGGTGAGGAAGCTGTAATAATTAAGAAATTATTTGGATGCATCTTTTGTACTTGTCTACATTGCCATTCTATAGAACCATATGAGAGACACTCAAAATGCTTTTAAAAAAGGAATTAAACCTTTCGAGTCTAATGTTCAGAAGGCAAATTTTACCTCTATTTTACAGATGAAGCCACAAGGCAATGAGTCAGGAATAGCACCTGAACTCCCATCCTCTGCTAACCACTAGATGTTGCTTCTGATCAAAAACCAATTTTACTTTAAAAGTTAAATTTGAGAGCTAAGCAGTCCCAAATTATGTATGGTGCTTTATTCTTGGACAAAAACTGATTGAGAAATTAAGAAATAGAACAAATG